GTTTGTAGGATATTCAGGCCAACCACCAAAGTTATTGAAGATGTTGGAGCATAAAGGCGGACAGAGAGAAAAAGTACAACCGGAAACAAAGGCTGACACCTTACTGCACATAAAAATGGTAAAAATTCTGACTGCTTGTGCAAAGGACTGAGAGCACTCGTGAAACGGAAAAAACACTGATGACTTCGAAACATGTATTGTTACTCCGTGTCCAAAAAGACGGATTAGAACGTATATTTTCCTTTCAATAAATTCTCTTGTTCACCACTTATCCTAGCGAGTGCGCTGTGACTAACCGGTTTTAGTTATGATTTTTTCGTGCTCCCTTTCTGATTCGAAATCGCTGTCGACCATCTTGGTGCGTTGTCACTTTATTATAAGTCCGGAGGACGTTTCCCGCTAAGCGTCGTCTGTTCTATTTGAGGAGATGTTTCCAAATTTTATGACTGGCGGAAGCAGGATCATAAGACTAAATCAAAGGGAAAACAGTGACGTGTTCTGCATGTGGGGTGGAAGCTTCGATAAAGTACGTTTATACCATATGGAGTGTCAAATGACAAGTTTCTGAGGTTGCGTCCAGGCAGACTCGGGCACATAACCTGTTGACCCAATACAAAGTATGTTTTTAAACTCTTCAATTTAAAGCAATAAACAGTGTGGGTGCTGTCAGTCTTTCAGACGGTTTATCTGACTGTATTTTGTGAACTACGAAATAGCTCTCGTCCATTCTTTCTCCCAGAATTCCTTGAATATCGGTACAACGTAACTATACTGATTTCATGTACCTAAAATTGTGCCAAATTTTAAGATAAAGTTTTGGGATGAGGCCGAAAACCTCAGCTACTCGAATGTTTTTACCTTCCTGGGGACACAGAGGGACTTTCACGTGACCTCTTTGTAGAGAGCTTTGGGCTGAAATTCATGGACTACGCGTTTGTTAGCCAGTTTGTATAACTAGTGAAGTTGTTTTGAGGTGTGATTATCGATCCAACTAGTAATCTCGCTGATACTAAATGGTCAGAAGGTGCACCCTGATTAGTCGGTGATCGCCATGGTAAGCCTGATAAATGCTTAGCTGTGCTTTTGAAATTTTATCAGATGTTCAAAGTCAGACCGGGATTCACACCCAAATGCCCAATTTGATTATACCAGTTCTGGCAGCACATTGCTTGGACTGGACAAGACTGTGTCGTTCTTGAATATGTTGTTCAATTGCGAGATAAGATAAAGTTTGCGTAAAAACACTCAGTTTCTTATCTGCAGCGCCAAACACATAGGAGAATGATATGGGAAATGGTGAAAACTGTTGCAAGAAATTATGCTCAGCATTTGTTAGGAAAGATTCATCACACCAAAAATTGTTGTTCTTCACGAGATTTCACTTTGCGTAATCAACTTGGTTTACTTGGAATAATGCTGCTATAGCCAGTATGCTGAGCAGGTAAATAAGAACCAATTAATGTAAATGTTTGTAACGTTGTGCGGCTACTCATCAGATGGCTAGTTATGCCTTTTTACCTTTTCCGTTGTGTTCTTTTATTTCATCTATTGGAAAAGATCTTTAAGCAGGAAAAATGTCATTCTAAACTGGCTGAAATCCTTCTATTCCTTACTTTACCTCTTGTTTGACGCGCAAGCTGTTATGTGGCACATGCGACGACGTTCCGCCCGACTTCAGGTAGATAACAAGTGGATACAGAAGTAATACTCGGTGACTCACTGACTCTTACTCAGCTTGGGGTTTTTCTGGAACTTGTATTGCTGAATTGGTCAGACGAATTCCATAGAAATGCTTTGCTATGTTCACCAAGAAGATAATCGGTAAAAATCTTTATTTGCTACCTATGTTCCGTTTGCTTTGCGCTTTTCAGCATCCCGGAAAAGTTAAGGGAAACCGTTACCGTGACTGTCTGTTAGATTCAGAACAGCTCGCATGTAAATATCCTCAAATAAAAATAAAAAATATAAATATTGTGAACGTTTAAAGCAGTTTCGAATGTCATGAAGACAAGTTTCATGCTAAATATCACCCCAAAACTCTTGGGTCTTTCGTAAAAATAGTCCGGTATATTTCGCATTCTTAAGTCCAATAAATGCCTATTTACACAGTATTGCGGTTTTGTGTAAAAACTAGTTCACCAAGAGCTATTTTTCGGAAGTTTTTCTAGTTTGCGTTTTGTGTTTTGGTCACTAGCCGCTAGTTTATACTTTTTATATTATTGTTTTCATTGGTGCGATAGCTCATCTATTTTATTTCAGAAAATGTCAGAACCAGAGAATGGTGCACGATTCCTCTACTCCGCGATTCTATCGAGGCAAAAGGCTCACTTTATAGTATTGGCTTCTAAAAACTTCTTGGTTAATATTAAGAGATGAAGGGTTAACGTGACTGGACTCCAGATTATATGTATAAATTTTCTTGTACCGAAACATAATTCCATGGGTTTCATGATACAAGTCATTAACCTTTCCACTGAAATGAAAGTATTGTTCTCAGTGACAAAGTACTCGAAACCATATTAAGGCCACAGAATAAGCATATTTGCTATGTAGTGTTAGCTCTTCCCATCGCGTCAACTTCGATAACTCTCCTAAGGTGACCAAATTTGTTTTCATCCCCAAATCCATAATAATAAAACTAACTGGAGAATCTTGTGCTAGGTTGCATTTTTTTATTGTGATCGTAACTGCACCTAACGGGCCACGGAAACGAACAAATGATATAGCCGAGTCTGTAATATCTGGTCTGGTGAGTATACAGCGGACTAGCATCACAGAAAGAAAACGCGAAGCTCACTGTGGTAGCAGTACTTTTTGAGGCTTTAGTTGGACTGTCCAGTACCAGATGGGACAAATTTTGTCGATTGATTTTGCCGATTTCACTGCTTACATTCGTTTATTTATTAGATGTTTTCGGACTCAGAATTAGTTGGAAAATTACTGCTTCTTCCTGTCTACAAGTACCATCAACAGAGATTGGAAATCAGTCAGGCGCACAACTCTGACAACGAAAGTTTTTCCAAAACGTCCGGCAAGCTGATATTGTTAGTACACTTGGCCCACTACAGGAACCAAAAACCTCAAGGTCGTCCGTCCAGCGAGGTCTGGACTGACTGCTGAGGACGAGTTGATGCTAATTAAATATTACAGGCTTTATTTCTCAAATGATTCGTAAACACAAATGGTGGTCCAAGACTCTTACTTGTTCAGTGTTGAATAGTTAATTTAAAAAATATAGCTCAGCAAGATTCCGATCTCAGGTTCAGCTGGACCCATAGATATTCGTATAAGTGCAGTGGAAAGGCTTCCTATGGTAGTGGTATTGGCACTATCTTTTTCAATATGCTCCAGCTTAGTTTTCGTCACATTGCTCTACTGTGCCGAAGTAGGGTCAGGCTTGAATGCTCTGAAGTACAGTCGCGAATGTACAAGAAACTTCAAGAGCGGATTATTAGACAAAAGAAGTAGTCAAGCAAAAGAAATGATAGCACGGCAACGGATTTTAAATTTCCGAAACCTGAAGGCAGTGTTTCCTACCACAGTAACATAGGACGCAATAAATGAAGTGACATCACATTTAAGTAGCCATCTAAATCTTATCATTAGGCCGTGCTAGGTTATTCTTGAAATTTCTGTAAACTCTATACCATTCTCTGTTAAAACTAACTGATAAATGTTTAGAGTTGGTGATTCCTCAGTTGCCTCCATCCGGTACGCTGTAGATAGATTCAACTTATCAACGAGGAAGTTTGAAGTTTCCACCGCAAAGGCTGATCTTTAAAAAAAACCTAAGGTCAGTCGTACAATGAACGATCACACTCATGATGATGCATCAAATGTCGTTAACGCCATCCCCCGAATCAGAACTTCTGATCATGCGGGTGGTATTTTAAACCTGTGTTAGCCAGCGCTGGTTGTCTCCGTAAACTTCAAGTTTTGATATGTGCAAATGCAACAGCAAGGGCCGTCTACCTTATAGTGTGACACTTCTGTGCTCGTTGCTGCCATGGGTGATAACCGAGAAAACTGCTTTTTGCGGTTTCTTCTACGAACTTTAAACCTCTGGATATACAACTTCGTGCAGTGACCCCGTCCAGGAAAGATGTGCGGAAACAAATGACATGAAACCGGTATAGCACCTAAATAAAAAGACCTGTTCAAGTGAGCAGAACGTTTTGAAGAACGTTTTCGCATTAATTTACAAAGAATAACGCAATGTGGATGTTACCGTTTTACTGAAGGCGACTTCGCAAAGGTGCTTTTTTCTCCTAATGTGTCACCACTACACACTGCCGGATTGGCCGGGGTCAAGTCAAGTAATCCCCAGGTAACAATGAACGGATGAGCGTGAATTTGTCAAAAAAACCAACCTAGCCGACTAAGCAACACATCATGTGCATGTTTAATGCACGGGAGCGGTGAACTGAAGGGGAAAGCTTGTCGTCGCCGAAGACCGAAGAATCCCTGAACCGGTTTTCGGCAGTACGGTTACACTGAAAAATGCCACTGAATGGTGAAGTGCTGTCTACAAAGTGAACAGCTGCACTAAAAAGCTGCTAAATGCTAAATAAAGCTGTTCTTACCATTTTAAGTATATATGTGAACATGGACCAACTTACGCTGAGAAACTCCTATTGAAAATATGTACAGCCTAACACAGAAACGACGAATTTTTTGCATGCCGCACACCACAGCCAAACCCAATTACGTCTTCTCTAAATGTGTTTGTTTTTATTAAATGTAATAACATCCTTAGCTGCGACCTCCATTTGATTAACTTGGTGTCCGTACGGGTCTTTGTGCCCATGATAAAGTCACCTTTTTTCGATCGATGATATCGATATATTTGATTCTGACGATAATGTGATGCCCCATTGCTTCCGCAAGACTCATTAAATGCCAGAGATGGATAACTTTAACAAGGCAGTTTGACAATGTGTAGGTGTGTGGTGTACATATTTGAATCAGCACACTCCAGCGTAGTAATTAATTCTTTTCAGATAACCCCGCGGACAAAACCAGGCGTTATTCGGTACGATCCAGAAGAATTTTTGATGAGTGCTTTGAAATGGTTGACAGAAACTTCTTCGCTTCCGACAGGAAGGTGAGCCAGATCTTCCAATTTCATTTGATCTTTGACATATTTTAAAGTAGGGTGCTTTAATATTCTGAAGAAACACAAATTTAAGCACAAGTTTCTCATGCAACAGATAAGATTGATTCCTTATAGTAGTGGAATATAGAATCAGAATATAAAGATGGCACCCCAGAAAAAAAGGTTCTCAAGTCGGTTATTTTACACGCTTTCGGGTAGTAGTCTAGGCGGTACTTACATTAAGATGGTTGAGTGCAAGCGGATACCCACTTAAATGCAAACCACATGCGTAACGTCTGATGAAAGTCTGCCCCACATCTCCTTTGAAAGCTTCCACGTAAAGCTTTCAAGCGAAATAGTACCAGCTTTCGTTAAAAGCTTGAACTCAACATATCGATTCTGCGTACTACAAACTGGATATAGTAAGTAAACGAGGAAACATTCCTCGAAGTACTAGGCAGAATTACCGTGAATGCCAAGTGCTGTTCTCTAAGGCCTGTTTCTCGGTCCACCAGCAGGTTGTTATAAAACTGTTTCAGATGGAATTCAAGAGATCCATTCAAACCAAATGTGCGATTTGAAAAGTGAGCATTTCGGATTAAGGATGGGCCTTGTGTACACTATAGCCCATCATTATCGCCTTGCTATTGTTAAGTAAGAGCTTAAATCACGAGAAATGGCCATTCTAGGTCCGTTGTTTTTTAACCGTCACCATGGGGACTCTCACAACATGGCAGATTTTTCAATGTCTTCTTTACAAATATTGCCCACCTCAGGTTGAGGTTACATTATGAACATAGTGAGTAGATTTCACCGAAAGAGAAGTTACTTAACGCCGAGGGTAGACGAATTGCTGGTATTACGCAATTGCAACAAGTGTGCATATAAAAGGTCTTGTTCCTTGCTTTCAAAATTATTGCTCTTCTAACTACCAACTAGCGGCAACTCACATTCATGTCATTTACATTGCGTCTGCAAAATTTGCTGCAGGACGACTGAGTGATTCTTATCAGAATAAATGACTGGTTTTCTCTAAACCCACCGAGGCAATTTTGACTAAAATGGTTGCAAATTTTCGAAAGTTCTTGCAGGAATTTCACGCTTTAACTAAATGATATTGCACACAACTTCCTCAAAAAGCTTTTCTCATCATTTTGGCTTGGCGGCTCGTGTTTGTCGACTTTTTGGGTCTCTGAAAAAACGGCACCGTGATGCTAAATAGACGGTTTCAGCTCATGAGTCTCTACTAATTGTCATCTCTCCCAAGGTTGGAGCACTTGATGGTTTTTACTTTGCATCGTTCTCCGTGGACTCCGCGCTTCGCTCAGGCCCCCCAAGCCAAATCAACCTAGTAGAAGATCAGTGTGTGGAGTGCCTCAATGCAGATAACCCGGACTGTTGGGTAGCCAAAGTCCATCCTATTCTGAATAGATCAGCGAGTTCACAAAAACGAGGGCGTCGTGACTCTGCTTTACCCGACAGCCCCGTAGCCAAAGATAACCCGGATGAGGGGGCACCTACGAATGGATTGTATTCTCCACAGACCAACGGTCATAGTGAAAATGAAAGACCCAGTGTTGGAAGGGTCAATTCAGTATGTCTCACTCGAATTCTCAGAGGAACAGCTAAAGGAAAAAGGGATCCACGAGAACTCTTTCGGGAGGAAGTTATCACCATTTCGAACAAACAGCAAGAATCAAAAATGAAACGAAGGTAAGTCACTACGTGAATGTTGTCTTGCATGCACATGGTCACGTGTTCCATCTCAAAATGCACGTGCTGTTTAAAAGAACAAAAGTGTGTCGCGTTCGAGCTCACTGGTACGTTGCAGCACATGTTGTCTAAGTTTCTGTTAACAACCAAAATGCACAATTCTAAAACGCCGTTAGTTGCTTTTTAAAAAGACGGATATTAATGTCCACCTCGCTCCTCACTAGTCCGACATGATATCCAGAAGCTGTAAGAAAACTGGTAGTGCGAGTATATGGTAATAATAATAATAATAATAATAATAATATATGGTGTGAAACTCCTGGTCCTCACAACAATGCAGTATTGCAGTAGTTTTGAGGACGCTTTAATTAACAAAGGAACCTAGAAAAAGTTCCTGATTGTACATAGGATGACTTCAGATTAGAACAATAACAACGCTACCCCAAAAATGGCTGATAGACTGTAGTCTGCTCAGATTGATTGCTTAATAGGGCAACATATCACAGAAGAAATAGGATGGTTGCTTCGGCAACATTATTGTGCGTGTAGCTTTATGATTCAGTTCACCAATTTTTGTTACCAGGATATCAAAGAAAAAAGAGATTGCCTGGTGAATATTTTTGATTGGTTGCAATTAGATCAGTAACCTTCCCCCGCACACACACGAATTATCAGTTCTATTATTACTGTGATTTAGATATCGAAATTTTTCTAGGTCACTTGTAGTTTATTCATGTGGATGGCATCGATGAATTGTGCCGGGCATATGCAATCAAGAGATTTGTAACCAAAGCTTATCAGAATTTATATTTACATTACTCTTCTTAGAACGGTCACCCTCCTGTCCCAGCGTAGTCACTCTTGTTAGTTCGTAACAAAGCGGATAAAAAGTTAAATTGAGTTTCACCTGCAATAAAACTCAACGTATCCTTCATCATGAAAAGATTTAAAATCTGGACGTCTGACACGTAAAGCAGCCAGCCCACTGTGGGTGAACTTGAACTAACCCGTGAAGCGAAATGCCTGGATGAAACAAGTGTGCCCATATCCACTACTGCGGACGAGTGATCTGGCCTTTAGCAGGTTATTTAAAGGTCACTGGTATGCAGCTCACTACAGACTTGATAGGTTTACTCACTTCTCTCCAGCAACCATTTCCAAAACAAACTAAGCAGTTACGCAAGCAGATCCCGGTGCTCTGCACAAAATAACGTCTTCAATATATCTGGTCGAATAAAACCAACCAAAACCAATGATTGGTGTTTGCCGAAAGCAGGATGCACAAAACACCCATAATACTCTATCAATAACTTAATTGCTTGCTTTGCTAGTTGTTTTATACAAAAAGTCTTGATTGGTCAACCTTTGTGAGAAGCGGAGTTGAAAACAAGGTCGTGTAATTTAACGACGTAATTTCTAACATGACATTGGGGCTCAAAATAAGAGCAAACAGTGGTGAGCATCTGGAAGACATTCCTTACCAAGCGAGACTACTAGATATACAACTGCTGATGCCGTACACAGCATCAGAATCTTACTGTTCTACCGAAAACCACCAGGGGAGGGATTAAAAATTGTGCTTTCAGTCAATTGCTACTTCTTTTGTAGTTTAAACTAACATTTAATAAATGCAGTCCAACTAAAATTCTTGCTTTCTATGAATACTTCTCATTTTCAAAGTACCGATATACTGTAAAAGCCCAAATAGCAAGTTCAAATTTAAAGCAACATATTGTGGTCCTCAGCTTCCAACTTTAATTGATTTCAACCGCATCGGGTTTTTNTTGCTTTCTATGAATACTTCTCATTTTCAAAGTACCGATATACTGTAAAAGCCCAAATAGCAAGTTCAAATTTAAAGCAACATATTGTGGTCCTCAGCTTCCAACTTTAATTGATTTCAACCGCAATCGGGTTTTTCAGCAGGACTCTTTGGGTTAGTCGATAGATTAACGATATTTTGCATCTGATATATAGGTGATACAAGTTATTTTCTACGAGGTCGTGTAATTTCTGTGAATAGTGGAATTATTCGTCGGTTCCGCTAGTATATCAATACGAAGTTAGGGGATTGGAGTTAACTGATGGAACCCAAATAGGGCTAAACTACCACCACTCTTTACCACTGCCACCTCAGTGGTAGTGGTAAAGAGTCGACCTGAACTCCCGTGTCACTTAAGTAAAATGATAAACATTTGCGTCTGGAAAATAGATAAATGCTACGTACCAATAAAATATATTTATACTGGTCAGCATTGCAAAAATCCCCACCAAACAACTCTTCCATTGATCCCGTTGAATTGTTTCGGTCTTGCCGCTCATTTTATCGCACCACATCTGTGGATATTCAAAAGCCTACAATGTGCAGTATTTTGCACCCATTCTCGTTTTTCACGTACATGCATCTTTACGCTACCTACACAAGGAAGCGCCGGGAATCTTCTTTGTAAATGCTTGAACCAGACTATATCTAAACAATCTGGTTTGAACATGTGGTCCTCATTAAAAAGCTTTTTTGAGGTGGTTCGACCTAAAAAATGGTATGACGAGGGTAAACCTTCACTGCGCAACATGCACTTCTTGCAGCAGCAGGCTGGCTACTCATGTCAAGTGTACAGCGATATAGTGGGGCTCAAGCCCCAGATGTATTGCTAGTGTATTTTCGTCAGTGAGCCTGCTGAATAATCGCTCGTTACTAGAGCTAACCATCATACAGACAAAAATCTGTACATTTTTTAACTTTTTACTATGTGAACACAACCTGCTGAAATAAATTTTGGTCAAACCTTGGGTCAGATATTTGTCATTTATCAGTTACCACCTTAGGAATTATGACTCTTTGCAAGTGCACTTTTGAAATCAGTGCACCATTTTTAACTTTGCGTTGACCAATTTCGCCTCATAAGGCCTTGTCCACCACTCTTTACCACTGCCACCTCAGTGGTAGTGGTAAAGAGTCGACCTGAACTCCCGTGTCACTTAAGTAAAATGATAAACATTTGCGTCTGGAAAATAGATAAATGCTACGTACCAATAAAATATATTTATACTGGTCAGCATTGCAAAAATCCCCACCAAACAACTCTTCCATTGATCCCGTTGAATTGTTTCGGTCTTGCCGCTCATTTTATCGCACCACATCTGTGGATATTCAAAAGCCTACAATGTGCAGTATTTTGCACCCATTCTCGTTTTTCACGTACATGCATCTTTACGCTACCTACACAAGGAAGCGCCGGGAATCTTCTTTGTAAATGCTTGAACCAGACTATATCTAAACAATCTGGTTTGAACATGTGGTCCTCATTAAAAAGCTTTTTTGAGGTGGTTCGACCTAAAAAATGGTATGACGAGGGTAAACCTTCACTGCGCAACATGCACTTCTTGCAGCAGCAGGCTGGCTACTCATGTCAAGTGTACAGCGATATAGTGGGGCTCAAGCCCCAGATGTATTGCTAGTGTATTTTCGTCAGTGAGCCTGCTGAATAATCGCTCGTTACTAGAGCTAACCATCATACAGACAAAAATCTGTACATTTTTTAACTTTTTACTATGTGAACACAACCTGCTGAAATAAATTTTGGTCAAACCTTGGGTCAGATATTTGTCATTTATCAGTTACCACCTTAGGAATTATGACTCTTTGCAAGTGCACTTTTGAAATCAGTGCACCATTTTTAACTTTGCGTTGACCAATTTCGCTTCATCAAGGCCTTGTTCCGGGTTTTATAGTTGCAAGTTACAGACAGCAGTGAGGCTTACTATTCTGAGGGTGCGACACGTCGTCTTCATGTTCAGAAGATTAGGAGGCTCTTGAGATTTCTTATCATCAGCGTCTAAGGAAAGGCACAACTACACGTCAGTGAACTATTAATTTATCGGAAGATTCCAAATAAGCAATGGAATGTTTTACTCAATCACAAGAAGGTAATCACACAACACACATGTGCCGTAATTCAGGCTGACCACCTAAAATAAGAGACCATCTTAGAGCTTGCCTATCTTTCTGAGTGTTGAAAATGAAACCTGGAAACACTTGTCGTAAGCTAGCACACAAATATCTCCTTCAGCTAATTCAGACAGTTGTGCAGTTGGATCTTCCTCAAATAAATTAGTGTTATCAAGCAGCACAAAATTCATAGCCTCTATATTCTGGTCGCAGTCAACTAATGTATGAATCGTTTGCCAACATCACTTGGAGAACTGGGTAACTGCGGCTAGTTGTGATAACACAAGCAGCTTGCGCAGAGCCGGGTGTGAAGTAGTGTGATGAAAACCCGAAGGCACATTGTAGGCGGGCAGACATTCTTGCTTGAAATCATGGTTAGGTCTAAAAGAGCGGCATTGTGATAATGTTTTGTTTTTCTTTGAAACTGGCGAATACTGTTCAGCTAGCATTACCCTCCCATCAGTTCAACCGAAAACTCTAACGCGACAATGATACAAAAGCCACGAACACTTCTATAAGTGGTTCATATCTACTAGCCTGTAGGCTTTGATAGTTTTGAAATTGTTTTCAGCCGACAAGGTGACTTTTTTCATCAGGCCAGACCAGGGAAGCATATGACATTCTGTCACTCATTTTCATCCCTCAAATATTTCTTTGGTTGAGGTTAGCGAATTTCGAGTCACGCGCTTTCCCGATTAGCCTAAACAACGTTCGCTGGATTTCGAAAATTGAACAAGTTGCACTGTTTCTTTCTACAATCTGTGGCTTATAATTACATGCGTTTTCGTGTATTTCTTCAGAACCAACAGGCTAGTAATAAAAAAATTGAAACGTAGCTGTTATCAGCAGGTCCACCATGTTGCTCATTTTAAACGAAATGGCTATTTGCTGACGATATACCGTTATGTGATGCAAATAAAGACAGAAACGTAGTCTATACACGAGGTAGGTTTGCCTCAGTTGACGCTGTCATCCGTGCTGAGTTGTCGTACTCAATCATTCGTACATATCGCTCACAGGAGGCAAAACCATGAAATCTATATTCCGATAGTTTGGTGGCAGGCTTGAATAACGGAGCAGTAATGACTAATTCCTAACCTGGGCTGACCACAGTTTGGTCTGTTCCTTGGCACGGTACTTCCGATTCCTGCAGAAGGAACAAAAACATTCTGCACTGAGTTATTGGGGGTTAGTTTGTACAAGTTCTCACGCGTTTTTCCACGTAAAAAAGAAACACAATAAAAACCAAATGAATGGAACAGCTCTTGTTTGTGCAGAAATACTAAAGTGAGTGTAATCTGCGGTTTCCCGTGCAAACACATTTTAGGAAGTTACTTCCNTGGAACCGCTCTTGTTTGTGCAGAAATACTAAAGTGAGTGTAATCTGCGGTTTCCCGTGCAAACACATTTTAGGAAGTTACTTCCCCCGCGTCTGATTCCACAAGGTCAAAAACAGACCAAATATCTGTGCTCCCAGAGTTGGACTTCCATGTCCACATTTGCAACTGAGCCTTTGTCCAACTTTTTGACTTCTTCTTATTAAAACTTATCAGGTTTAGCTGGCAATTGAGCCAAACTGTGGCCAGTAGCCTGGAGACTAATTCTTCGTAACCCTGAAGTCTGAAGTTGAAGCAAAGGGGGATTCTGAAAAGGAAATAGGATAGATTGGATGGTGAGCTAATTTGTTAAGTGGGCCGGGATTAGCGAACATACAGACGTCTAAAGCTATACTGACCCCAGTCGACCTGTGGATACCACAGTTCTGAACTTATGGCGATTACGGCTGACCTTTAGGACCAACCTATGGACCAAAGCAAGCTAAGCCTTGGAAGTGTTAATATGGTTGCCTCCTGTTTTAGCTGTCGGTGAATAGGGGTAACTTTGGTAGAAGTGTTTCATGTGTTTAACCTATGATACTGCCAAAACTTAACTTATGTCTCTTCGTACAACTATTCGACGATTGAATTCGGTCACGTGAAATAGCCCTCGGTATGACTTGTCAAAGTCATCGGTTCCCCGGGTATGCTAAACATGCGCTGTGAGGTCAGACCGTATAATCATTCCAAACATAACTCAATAGCCTTCATACTTGCTGAATATATCACAGCTGTGCAAACTTCGATCTTCTTCCTCAGCCTCTTAGTCGAAATAGAAGTTCAAGCATTTTTGAAGATGAGAACGCGGATAGCAAGCGCGTTCTGTTCTAAGCAAACAAGTACCGATGTAGTTAGATTTTATACTCAAATCCGAAGATAGATGCAGGCTTTTTACTAGTGCAGATTCAAATGCGCTTGATTGGGAAAAGGTGGGCATTGACTTTCCTGAAGTAGTTTCTATACCCACCGAAAATGACGCTTTCGAGCTGGCACGTAAATTTACTTCTCATTAAGCTTTATCCAGCTAGGAAATAGTGCAATTATCTTATTACACGGGGTTTTCAAATGTTCATTTTGATTCCTATAAAAATCTTCCATACCAGTGCCTTCGTCCTCACTGACACCCATCAGCTAGACCCGGATTTATGAACCTCTATGTAGCTGCTTCAATACGTTTCACTTAAAACCCATTGCCTGCCACCGCCTTTCGTTAATGACCTTTTGTTGTCTGAAACATCAATTGTAACCATCTGCTGCCTTACACAATCACCAAACTAGTTGTGCATAGGTTAGTTATCGATCATCATGGAGAGCCTGATAGCATCCAGTGCATTAGTCAGGAATTTTATCCACTGACGGTAGACATTTCCTGGGATCCCGATTAACTCAGTGCTTCCATTCTTATTTGAACCCATCAGATGGTTGACAGCAAACGCTTTAGTGAGCTTTTTCAAACTGTTTCTTCGGAACACCTATCCACATCAGGTAACATTTCAAGCCCATAACATGGAAAGTATCTGCCCTTCGGAGAGATCGGATAACCAACCAGGCAATCCTTTATTATCAGTTTCCTCATAAGTCTGAAAATGATGAAACCACACCTAGTAAAATACATGACAGGAGATTTTAGGCTTGGTAGCATCCATCATCTTAAGAGCTAACTCACAGAAACATGAAGAGAGTAAAATGAACGAATGGTTCACTGTCCTCCTAGCTTTAGAGGGGAGGCCTGACCACAAGTTCACATGAGTGGGTATCCATTCTCAATCTCCACGGTGATCACTTATCTCAGCGAAGTGGTTGACTGGGAGCCTGGTCACGGTGATCCCAAGTTGCGTTGCGTAACTCGGAACTGGTTTACAAAAAAGGATTTCCCCTCAATACTCATCCTGATTATCTTGATAAGTAACAAATTCTATCCACAGAACACAACACTCAATAGTGCAATGAAATCCTTCTGAAATCTCGGCAAATGGGTGTAGAATAAGCCCCAACATAAAGACAGTATATTCAGCATAGATTTATTTTGCTTTTAAAATGTAACCTTTGCTGAAAGTTCCGAGCGTCCTCATACTTCTGAAAGGTATTTTCTGTTTGAACATTGTTCGTTTAAGAATATCGGAGGTTGTTTTTGTTCTGAATAATTCACTATATTTCCCTCCGAAAATATGAATCGTCTAGCTTCTTTAAGTGTACTTTCTTGCCTGCCCCATTCTTTCACCAAAATCACAGTCGGTTACGCTTGGGCTCCGACAACTCCAGCTTTTCCAACATGACTAACAAATGCCTGTATTTCACACGGATCATCTGCTACCGCTAGTTTACTAACGCATGTGAGACTCACCTGCTTTGATCCTGTCCGGCTGTGGGGTAGCTCACTAATATGAGAAACACCTTAAGAGGAGCTCCAATTCTTCCAAACGGTGGCTGACAGATATAGTGAATCAGAAGCTCCACAAGTGTACAACAGACAAATGCTGGATTCGTTCCACGAAAACCGAATACCTGTAAAAATTTACTTTATTCACACTCGTCTACTGCTTGGTCAGTATTACAGTTCCTGTCATTTAGATTCAAAGATAGTTACGCCCACTCTTTTCGTACACCAAACCCTTTTGATCCACTAAGCCTAGAGCGTTTTTGATGCAAATCTCAACGCGAAAAAGAGACCCGACGAAGAAATATGTTAACATCACCAACCTCCTACGAAATCCTTTCAATGCTGTCTTATTGTGCGAAGCGTAGCGGTAGTTGGGTGGCTGCATACGTCTTATAATGACTCAGCAGCTGATCAACAAGAGGGGTTATATTAATCTTCCACTTGTCCCTTTGTGAAATGACTATTATGACAACAAGGACACATCACATCATAAGTTTTTTAACACAACAAATCTTCTGCCACAGAGTAATGAAGTCCTCCGCGCAAACTTAACCATCGCAACAGAGCACTTCTGATAGCGCTGTATTTCCGTTCACAGAAATTTTGTTAGCATCCCATTCTGAAAAATCCTTCTGACTTGATGCAGTGACTAGGGATAACTTTATATGAGTGCGCATCATCGATGAATATGATTGGTTGTACGAGGATTTGTACTCTGGGTATGAAAAGTGCAATTCAATCATGCTGACACCACTCCACCATCATACATATTCTGTTACTGATACATTGTGGATGGTTTTCCACTCGGTTCAGTCTAAGTCAGACATTAACTTGAGTTCTTAGGACATAAACTGTAGAACAAGGAAAACGAAGCTATTTGAACTCAAACCACCGTTAACACACTTCTATGGCCGGATCTCCTAATGTAAGCGGCTTTTACACAGCTTCCCCTCCTTCTATGAGATTTCTGACTTTTTCCACCTAGTGTTAACCGAACCACTGATTTTTCTCCGTTTCTTGCTGCATACAGTTCTTACCCCCTTTTTGCTTAGTAGTTGTAAACGACCTGAAAAGCATTCAGCACCGTTGTCGCATTCCACGCTATGAAAACGGCAGTGCTAACGCTACACCTGCACGCAGCCTCCAGCAAAGCATGGCAAAGACGTGTTGGAACCTGACAGAGTTTAATTTCACAAATATGTCTATTTCTGCTTTAGGTGTTCCAACTGCCGTGGCGTTTTACGGAAGCTATGCTGCGGTTTGCTCGGCAACCAACCGCCCTCAAATCTCTCGAGGTAACCAAAATACCTTGGTAAACTGACTCCAAGGGCAAACTTTAAAGCAACGTTTCACTAGAGAATGCGTCCCATTTGCACCACGTTTTCTGTAAATTTGTTTTTCAAGTGAGCTTAGTAGCATTTATGATGTTCAAGTCACTAAAACGTGCCTGCCATCCTTGAACATGAGTTAGGTCCGGTTGGATGTGTTACTGAAACGCTAAATTAGGCCCCAGACTACATGATTCATTCTGGGTGGCGTACCAACCAAGGACAGGGGCTTCCTGAAAGGATAATAATTGTTCTTACGATCAAAAACAACAGGACAGAGGTTAGCATAAAGCACTTGGGTTGTAGTGATCATGTAATCCGATTTAAACTGTAACCTGTATTATGTACTTCTCCTATTTGAACGAGAGCCTGGGTTCCATCGTACCACAGAGATGTAAAAACGTTATGCCTACTAAGAATACTGGATCCATAAAATAAAACGAATAATGTTACAGTGGAAAGCCCCTCAACCATCCATAAGTTTGCAAATCTTACATTGTACCACTGCTGATGAGGAAAGATTCACAGAAACTGAGAGATACGTTGGAGTTGGAAGATGGGTCTGAATGACTTAGAGAATGTGTTTCAAGTGAACTAGAACCTCCATTACCTCATTCTCCAGAGGAAAACTCTTCTTGGGAGTGCACTAATTCTTTTTTCCCAGGGCATATTTCGCCGGTTAGTTCACTTATTTTGAGCATCTGCACCACAGAAATTGTCGTGCTTCCTATTTTTTAATAGGTTACGCAAACATGGTGGGACAAAAATGCACAGAAAGATGCATGCTGACCGTAACTAATTGACGCGTTTAGCGCCGCAGTCACACTCCATAGGCGTACGAATTAGATTGTGACATACACAACATTTTAGGGCTCGTGAACCGACAAATACTCCAGGTTTTTTTTCAAAGTTACTTTAAATTATTCTAGCCTCAGGCTGCGCTCAGCAATAGTGAAAACTTGCATTCCATTGACCGTAAGTCTGCTGTCAACGGTAGCTTTACTGAGATTTGCGTCAGTGTCTGGCTTTGCGAGTTTCCCCAGTTCATGTTCAAAGAATTTCAAACTAGTGGACGAGGACAACGATATATGATAGTTATATACTACATCTCGGGTGGATTAACCGTGATGAATAACATGAAGAAGATTATGGTGCAAACTAATGCCATCTGGTCAAGTAATTCTGGGATTTCTTGCTGTCAGCAGTTCCCAAAACAAGACTGACGGCTTGATTCTGAGTCACTCATTTCCGGGAATTTAAAATTCCTTATTTAAGTTCTGTCCTAAAGCATTGTCAGAATACCCCGCGTGTGCTGAACGGAGCAACTGGTTATCACGTTTAACGTGCAGAATTAATTTGGCTGCAACATCTCTTTTTGGTCCATCAAAACGAGTGGATAAAGGTACATGTAATTATCATGTTGGAACGTTTTACCTTTACAAGAGAGAGAGAGAGATTATTACCATCTCGTTTTCGAGCCTGATCACATTTATTCCAATTTATTTTCACCAAAAGGAAGCTAAGGACTCATAACATACTAATTCACAATTCACACTGCTAGCCGTGTCGGGATTAAAACATTATAATCCAATGTGTGAGGCAAGCATATAGTCAATTTACCAAAGAATGCTGAACGTAATTGAATCTCTGCCTATGAACAAGCAGAAATATTAGCCCAAAAGCCACGTGACTAGCTCTAGTAGGATTAAAAATTCGATTCCTGTGCTCCTCTGCTTTGTCGTGGAGTAAGTGGATTACTTCTAACAGGACAATTCAAAGACTGTTCAAACGATAAATGGATGAATTTGAATCCCACGAGCTATACAGCCACATACAAATACAAATTCCGAACCAGCCTGGAATCTTCTTTGATCGTCTGACGCAGACTGATTGTTTCAGCACCTTACAAACGGTGATATTTATCCACAAACGGGCGTCCTGATCACGCCAAAAGAAATTCGATTAATCATCGTTAGTCACCTTTTTTCTTATTGCATTCTCTCCTGATGAGCGCGCCGCAATCCGATCAGCATTTACAGGAACGTTTCCTGTAGTCTGATAATTGGGAAATAGTCTCCCATTGAACAAGTAAGCAGCAACTAAGTGGCGATGGTTTTCACTAGTTTTCCTTCAACGTCCACTCCGACGTAAGTGTGAATGTGAATCACAACGCAATAATATTCTCCGCCATTTTCTACAAACCGTACTTAACACATGTTTGTTTTTGTCTGAATATTTCCGGTGAAAAGGTTAAACCTCTTATCATATGATAATTTCCAGCCCCTTACTTACTTACATTTAATAAAGTACATTACTTAAGGAAAAAAATTTGGTGAATGAAATGTACATCGCAAGTTGCTGTCGTTTGGTTGTCTTTATTTGCCTAAGCCGTAGTCCATACTATATAAATGCGAAAGGATAGGGTAATATTTTATGGCGAAAACATTTTCGCGCCGTTACTAGTTTGAAACTAGTGCATTGCATAGGTGAACAAAGAACAACACAACCCCACTAAGTACTAACAGAAACCAACATATCAGCCGTGGAAGACATAACCAAAACCATACTATAGAACCTGTCCGTAGTAACCACGGACCAGGGCTTTTATAGTCGGTTTTATGAATTCATAAACGGTGTGGAAAATCGTTCTTTTCGGTGAACCAGAATCTACCCGGATAACATTTATTACCCTTCGCTTGTGATGACGCAATGCCGATCATTTTGCATTACGTAACCATAGTCTTTAGAACAGTGTCGTTTTTGGAACATTAAAATGAAACTGTACATAGCTGAAGGAATTTACTGTGATGCACAGTGCAGGGTGCATTGGGAATGTGTGCCGTTACACATACCTATATTCATAGACAAAACCCTCTTCTGATCCCAGTTGTTCTCGAATTTCTCAACGGATATTGAATTTGGGACATTCACAGTTGGTCCATGTATACCGCAAACGTTTTCAGCTATATCTGAGATCAGAGAACCCCCAGAAAATCATGCTGCTGCAAGAAGGTTATAACAGGGTTAGCCCAGGTTGATGTAAATGCCGACATTCTTCAATAGTTTGACATGCTTTATTATGTGTCTTCAGAATGTGAGGCTCTGTTCGCTTTTGTCAAAATTACACGCCATCTTCGACATCTACCACACCCACAATTTATCTCATCAGACTGTCCGCACGCCGCAATGGCCCCTTCAACTACACCCAGTCCTTATCATTTGTCCCGTCTAATCTCACCTGGGCCGTCGTAATAAAAATGTTATTTCTGAATGACGATCAAATTTTTTTGGATTGATTGCTTCACACATAAAATTTCCGTCAATGGAAATGAATAGTAAGACAAGTCCATTAGTGTTAGTTGCGGCTATCTGGTTGCGTCCGCAGTTTTCGTGCCTTTTATCGATCGTTCTCTGTTTACTCAATGGATCTAATGAAAATTCGATACTTTCTGTCCCAAACATAAGTGCCTAAATGAAGAAGCAATGTCGTTAGCGGGTGCCTCTTTCACTTTTCATGGCTAAGCACTTTCCAATCACATATTTTGGGAGAATGTTGGAGGTTCAACATGCTCATAACAGGGGACTGTCATTTCAATATATGAGTGGCTTTGAACCAGGTAATTTTCGTGGTAGTCAATCATTTTTTGAACTTATGTTCACAGGTTTACATGTAATTAAAAGAATACTACTTGTATTCTAACCTGAACAGAATTTTAGGTTTGATTTGGTCAGAAATCAAATGCGTGCTGGCATGTGGGGAGTATCTGCAGTTATCTGCTCAATTTTCGGCTCGAATGAAAGAAGTAGGTGTCTATATGAACCTAAACTAAATGACGTCTCCGCACACACATGATCCATAGCAAACAATCCATGTGTACAGTTGCTTGATTTTTGGATTGTGCCTTAAATTGTGTTGATGAGCCAGATGACCGGGGCAGTTGGTCTGTCGACCGCCACTTATCCTTTTGAAATGCGGCTGCCAAACGGTGTAAACACTTCGAAGTGTTTGTTTCACCAAACGTGGAAAAGGTGTCACAACAATCAAAAGGCCGCTGGACAGCTACAATCCTTATTTGTGATTCAAAGCGAAATAGATAGATGCAGACAATCAACAGAAATAGAGTGGACTCAAAAGAATGATGAAACAAAATTCAATTTCAGGCGTTGGTTGTTGCGGGATTTTATAAAACACACACATGACCCCCGTATGAACAGTCGTCCTACTGTCATGGCGTAATTATTCTGGTGAGTCCACATCAAGGGGGGAAGCACTGAATTCGAGTTTTGCTCTTATTGGCGTTCATCAGTAGTGCATATCCAATGGCTTTGCCAGGGTTTGAACTCCGCGAGGCCAGTGTGTTACTACTACTTCAGCAGCGCACACTGGACTCATCCGGATTTTTACGTTCGCGCTTGAGTGATGTGAGCGGAAGGCCTGACGCCTCGAACGATGACCCAGTAACATAACTTGATTGTGTCGATCGATTTGCAATAAGAGTCAGTCAATCTGATCTTTGTGAGCGGCCAAACACATTTTTTCAAAATTTCGTTTGATATGTTTAGTCAAGATGAATGCGACTGTCATCCTCAAAATATGGAACTATCCTTTCTGTTTGTTTAGAACAATTTACACGAATCCGAATGTATACAAAAAATCGGACGGAACGAAAAAGTACTTGTCGTTTATATAGCACTTGACCGAATGTTAGTTAAAAGGGCACCAAACTTTCTACCCTATCAAACCGCCAGCCAAAGGCCTTCCTCTGGCCAGCCACTTGCTCAACTAAATTGGCCTCCATATCATGGGCAGTGGTTAGAAACACTCCACATTCAATATAGAGTGTAGTGCCAAGCTATTGACTATCTTGTACACCAACGGAGATCTATCCTACTCTTTTGCTTGTACCAAGCATGCCTTTTCAGTTTTAATGCTAGTTCGCGGTCCCCACCGTATACAATTGCTCGCT